ATTCACGCATTTTTATCCAACCCACCGTTCTTTTAGCGTCGGGGGCACAAAATGTCCGACCTACTTCTCGGTGGGGACAAAAAGACATAAGCTGATTGTCCGTCACTACAATATGCAGCACAATCATGGGGCCTGCATGGACCTTCCACTGGAGGACACCCCTTCTCTAGAGCCACCGATGGTGGATGAGAACCTAAAAAACGTCCTCGACCTCAATGCTATGAGTAAGCTTCTTAACGCGCTCCAACTTGACTTCGTTTTCTCTTAAGATCAGATGACGGTCAGGGACTGTACAGAGGAATTTCTCAAAATTTTCCAGACTACAAGTTTTGACACTTTCAACGAACTACAAGCTAAAATGGACGAATTCCAAATGGTACCGCTATTTTTGTTACCCTCCCCCAAACACTACAATGACCCTTCAGGTGACTGGAAATCGTTATGTGAAGACCAACACTCGAAGACTGCCTCCAGACTCCCCAAATGCGGAAACTCTTGTCTACAGTCATTTGGTTTACATTTGCTACCGCTATGGCACCAATGTTACCCTCTATAAGAGCCGTAAACCCCAACGGTAACTTTGCATTTTTCCCCCGGTCTTACCCTCGCCCAGAACTGCAAAAATTGGTTGTCGTTCGAAAATTTACTTCTACGTCCACGATAACCGCCTGCACGTGCGGCGCTATGATTTTCGGCACAATCATGAGGTGGGGCCAGACCTCGTCCAGTTTCCCCTGAAGAGACGTCGGTCCAAAAAGCAGATGCAGCAACTGACAGAGCAGCAGCAGCAACAACAACAGCAGCAGCAGCAGTTGCAACTGCAACGACAACAGCAACTACAGCAGCAGCAGCACTACCAGCAGCATTCCCATCTGCCTCCGATGCGTCCATTGGTGGGTATGGAGGAGGAGGATGTTGAGGATCAAGGCGAAGAGGACATGGAGGAGGTGGATGAAGAAGAAGAGGAGGAGGAGGACGAGGAAGAAGTAGAAGAGAGTAGTTTGCCACTGCTTTCGATGATGTTCCAGCAGCCAGGTTGTGCATCTCACATACAGCTTGAAAGTACGTCCATAATTTGACCATAGACTCTACCAGTTGTCTAGTTGCGTTTGACGCGAGGCGGCAGGTCTGCGACCTGGTAAGGTCACCTGCATTGGGTCATGGAGTGTAACCCACACACACGTACACTTTAATGAGGCTTCACACCCCATCCTCAGTGCACTCGTCCAAAACTGACCCGGGGGAAGAAACGCTCCTTGTGTCCAATGCCGTTGGTTCTTTATAGGGTTTCACAACACCTGGATACGAGGTTATGGACACTAAGTATTACCGGCAAAGACAAGGGAGACAGGAGTGGCCATTTCTGGCTTATTAGCTGTCGTCAGCCAGTCATACCCAGAATCCCTTGTGTTTGCCGGTAATACTATTTCCGAATGAATGCGAAGGTTCGCGATCCAGGTACTTGCATGGATGAGG